CATCAGTAAAAAAAAAATTGTTTTACTAAAAAAAAAGATTTGTTTACTATGTAGTGATTTAATCTACTTTTTGCATCATACTATACTAAAATAAATTGATCAGCACTAATGCTAAGTGTGCCATTGGGACATTTTCCTATGATTTTGTTTTCATCAAGAACATAATTAATTTGTTCTCTTACTGCTTCATCTTGAATACCAAATAAATGAACTTTACATAAACTAAGGTAATAGATTTTATTTACTTGTTGATTTAAATGGGTACATGAACATTTTGGGCTCAATCATAACTATAATGAGCAGTAGCATCAATATTACAATACTGTGTTTTACCTTTTGAATAATTTTGATTAACTAATTTTCTTTGCTCTTCTGCTAATTTTGTATTCTTATTATAATAATTTCTTTCTAATTTGGCCTTGGACAGATGTTCTTTAAATCTTTTAAGTAATTCTTAGCTTCTTCCTCTTGGCAAGCATTATAATGTAAGCCATCTCTAAAATGTTGACAAGTATCACACAAGTCAGTCCTAGAACTCATAATTTGAATTTCTGGTGTCATAACTTTCTGAATGCATCATATTTTAAGGATTTCAATTTGCTGTTTTCTTCCAGACCAGCTAGAAAATCTCTATACACTGATTTGTAACTCATTTCAGCTGGTAAGAATACAATTGATTGAGTTATTCTATTGATACTTCTTCCTGAACTTGGTAATCCATGGATTTCTGCATAATTTTCTAGAAAATTTTTTACTACTTCTGCAACATTTTTATTGATCACCATTTTAGTTTTCCATGGAGGCATTCTTTTATGTTTCCATGTACTCTTGATATAAGTCCATTGTTTATCAGATGATTTCTAATATTTTTGAAATAAGTTCTGCCAATTCCTAGAATATTGAGATAAGTTTCTTGACAAAAAGGTGTATTGTGATCTCAGTGATAGATTAGACCTGGTTTTCTTTTTAAAGTGTCTGCTGGTGTTTATTAATCCATCATCCATTACCTTAAGTTGAGCCATTAAAAATATATCTTGTTCAGACTTGGAAAGTGCTTGAAAGGATCCCCTTAATTCTGCAAATTCTTCCTTAGGAATTCTTGAAGAGCAACCACAATTACATCCTTTTTCTAAAAAATCAATCGCCTTTTGATATTCATTAGAACCACTATATTTATTATTACTTTTTGTATACGCTTATCCCTATATATAATTTTATAATTTTATGTTCACTTTATAGTTTTTTATAATTGAAGGAAAGTATATGAATAGAATTAAACTTAGATGAATCAATGGAATAGTTTTAGGTAAATGATTCAAAAGATATGATTGTTCAGTAACTTGTGAAGAGAAATTGGAAAATTTGGTCAATTTTTAATGAAAAATAATTATGGCCTAGTCATTAATAATCAAAATAAGAAAAGACATCTTAAAAAGCAAACAATAATGAAATAATAAAAATTGACTACCTTTACCAATGAATTTTTTCACATGTTGTTGATCATAAACAAAAAATGTTATTATTTCTGTTACAACCTGGGTTGCTGTTTTAGATTTTTCCTAAATTTAGGCACATCAACATGCCAACAACCCTACCTCATTTAAACAACAAGTTCAGTTGGTCAGACTAAATTTAAAGAAACAGAAAATTTATGGGAATGATTAATTTATAACATACCAGACAAAATCTGAACCATTTTATAACTTTTTCTTTGTTGACCAGATTGCTGACAAAGATATATATAATCATGCAATAATTTTAATCTACAGGACAGAGGACTGATTGGGCAAAAACCCCTACCAAAAATTATAAATTGGTTAGTATCAGAGAAACAGAGCATTTAGGAAAATGATTATACAAAACAAACACTATTTTAGAATTTTTCTCTTAACATCAGAGTCCAAATGCAATTTCAGGGCCACCAACCCTGCTCTGAATCACAACCTTCTGTGCTTGAAATGAGTTGCAGATTCTCTTAATATTCCTCCAGAGTTGCAACAGCTTGGTCACAGTGCCATCCTTACCTAGAGGTAGGATCATTGCAGGCAACTTTTGTCCAGCATGCCAGCAAGCCTTCTCTGGTCTGGAAAGATTATCAAGTTTCATTGACAATTGATGCAGTCTTGGTAAACTCCAGAGCTTTGCGTCCCCCCCTGGAATTCAACATCATTGTATCATTGGGAGAAACGTGGTCAGATTAGCCTTGTGCACATGAGGAGCATGTGAGAATGACTGTAAAGTGTTGAAGGCAGTGTGCATGCTTCAACGCCTGCTATTTTCCTGTAATCAAATGTCACATACTCAAAATGTCTCTTTTTCAACAGTGGGCTGCCTTGACATCTTGTAGTTAAATTATAGTAATATTAACATTATTAATTATCAAGATTGTGTATTTTGCTTTTCGTAATCGTTAATAGATCTTATAATTACCCAGAAATGATATGCTCTGTGTTTTGATTCCAATTAAAATATTTATATAAAATAAAAGACACCACATTATATCAATACAAGTAAAAAAAGTTACTTCTGGTTAGTTATTAAATGTCTTCTTTAGGAGATTCGCATTTTGTCACCTTGGACTCTGTCAAAAAATAAATTGTTTTCCGTAAAGTCAAGTCTGGAAAGATAGCATCCCCTTTTTACATATGTGTAACATTTTTTTATATTGATGCTCAATTGTTTTAAAGTAGGGGGTGCTATCTTTCCAGACTTTACGGTATTCCAATAATTAATGTGCACGCGTCGATCAAAACAAGAAACTTCTTTTTTTAAAAAAAATGTCTTACCGACCAAGAAAAAGAGACAAGGAGTGATGGCAATGATGAGCAAGTGTTTTAAGAATAGTGGTGGTGGTTGTCGTCACTCTAGTTTTTTAAAATGACTGATGAAAAAAGCAAATATTACTACTCTACTGGTATTTTTATTATATATAAGTTTAGGGCATTTTAATATTAATATTATTCGATTTATATAATTTTATATTGAATATATCCTTCATCCTCCACTACTGTTGCTTCTACTGTTGCTGTTAACAACGTAAGTTGGTTCTTTCGTGCATTTATGTTCAAGTTTATATTCTATACATACATACACACATACATATGTATAATTCCTTCAAGGTTTCGTTATGAAAATATTTGTTTTAGATCAACCCGGATCCTGCATTTATAGGATTAGATTAGTGACCACTGTTGATATACCAGTGAAAAAGAATGTGGTAAAGTATTATGACATATTGGATAGATTGATGGTAAGACATTTGAGTTGGCTATTTTATCAAGATAAATTACAAAACTAACTTAAGAATCACCTTTACGTTAATTTAATAGTATGCCACAAATAGTTTGTATGACATAATAAAAAATCTTGATGATTTGTCAAAAAGGAAAAAGAAGAAGAGAGAAGGAAGAAAAACAAATTTATTGTCTTCAGTTTCGTGCATGCACTCACCATAATATCATTTATCAAATTTTCTTTCAATTTCTTTTGCCATAACAAATTATTATAAATATTTCTTTCTTTCAAACGTATGTTAGACATGAAATACCAATTTGATTATTATTAAAACGAAATTAAATAGTTCATAAGGCTTCGAATCGAATTTTAAAATGATTTAATTTATTCAATTCGTTTAATTCCTTAATGTATTTTTATTATTATATTGTTTCTGATGATAACAAGTAAGATCAAGACATAAAATGAAAAACTGATGTTTTTTACTGATACCTTTTATAAGCCGATTTTCTTAAGAGGGATTTACTGTCGAAAACATTTTTTTTTAAAATATTTACTTCGTATAAATAAATATAAATTTTATATATAATAATCGAGTACAAATGAAAAAATTCTTTTTATAACCGATTTTTCATTCTCCATTTAATTATACATATAGTAATAGGACGAAATTCGGATGAAACGATGTAAATCGAAGTTGAATTCGAATTTCATAAATAAATGATTTCCTTGTTGGTTTCTTTTATGTGACAAGTTTACACAATCTAAACAAATCATTATCTTACTGTGCAGATCATCTATAATCATTAATTGCTTATAGTAACAATTGGTCAACTTCAAAATACTAAAACAAAAAAAAATTA